AAAAAAAAAAGTTTCTCAAAAATGACTAAAAATACACTCATTTGCCTTAAAATACTTAGCTATGTCCATTTTTGTGGTTAAAATTGAGAAAAAAAATGTTTTTTTGGTATTACAACTTTGATCACAGTAAAATACTATACCAATAAGTTCCTGAAGTAATCTCCGAAAAAAAAAGTTTCTCAAAAATGACTAAAAATGCACTCATTTGCCTTAAAATACTTAGCTATGACCATTTTTGTGGTTAAAATTGAGAAAAAATATATTTTTTTGGTATTCCAACTTTTGATAACAGTAAAATACTATACCAATAAATTCCCAAAGTAATCTCCGAAAAAAAAAGTTTCTCAAAAATGACTAAAAATACACTCATTTGCCTTAGAATACTTAGCCATGTCCATTTTTGTGGTTAAAATTGAGAAAAAAATATATTTTTTTGGTATTCCAACTTTTGATCACAGTAAAATACTATACCAATAAGTTTCCAAAGTAATCTCTGAAAAAAAAAGTTTCTCAAAAATGACTAAAAATACACTCATTTGCCTTAAAATACTTAGCTATGTCCATTTTTGTGGTTAAAATTTACTTTTTTGGTACGTCAACTTTTGATGACGGTGATATTTCATACTTTCGGTAAGTCAACCATTAATTAAAATCAACATTATGTGAGGTCCCATTTTGTTTGTATATAGTTTGGATATTTTTTAGAATTATTTTGCACTTTGTCTAGTACTTGTTCATTGTGGTTGATTGTTAATGTGTGGCGTATGCATGTGTTTCCGTTTTTGTGTACAGGTACTTCATCGCCTGTGTTCTCATCATGCCCCGTGTCAACGCTGATGAATACACAGAGTTGCTGGCAATTCCAGCCCATCAGGACTCCAGCTTATAACCACCTGCTCTTCGTTGGCACTCGGTGATCTGCTTTACCTATGTTGTAATCCTTTGGCTCTTTGTGCATGCTCCTTGCTACTTTTTGTTATACATGGATTTTTCCTGCTTTTCCACAGTTCATGTTTTGCTTTTTGCTTTTTGAGCTGGATCCTTTTTGCTCCTGAGTCAGCAGCTCCACCACTTTCTCCCTCTGCCTCCACTGCCGCTCATTAGCAGTGGGAATCCTGCCTGCGCCCTGGCTTCAGCTCCATTGCTTCCGTTGCCTCAGCCCGTGCTGCTTGCTTCAACCTACATTTGCACATTCCTAATTTGTTAATTAACATATTTCCTCACGCCTGTATCTGTGCCACTGTAATACATACAATTCTAAGAAGTTTCTCAAAAGAATAACATTTTCTCAAATCTAGTTAAATCGAATCTGTTGGGTTTGATGAATCGATCATTTGTGTGTGAGTGTGTCGGCAGAGCCTTACAAGGGTTTCCCCTAAGCGCAAGGTGATGAACATGCAGAAAACATAAAATTTTGAAATTTTGAAATCCATATTTTTATGGATTTTTTCACGATGG